TTGAAAGAAACTAAGGACGGACTATCTGAACTGGAGGGCAGACTTGTAATATGGGAGAATGAAATGAAAAACTTCTTAAAAATAACAAAGAAACAAACAGCAATAATACAAAGACAAGAAGATGATAAGAGGAGCCATAACTTAAGGATTAAGAACATAAAAGAAGAAGTAGGGACACAAACAAGTGAACTACAAAAGCTGCTCACAGAAATAATCCAGGAGAATTTTCCTAATTTAGCAAAAGGTAAAGATACTCAGATGTATGAGGCATACAGGACCCCAGCTACCTACAACCCTAACAGAGAAACACCCAGGCATATAATAATAAAAATTCCAGAAATTCAATACAAGAACAGAATATTAAAAGCTGTAAGAGACAAGAAACAGACTACTTACAAGGGAACACCCATCAGAATTACAGCAGATTTCTCTTCACAAACCATCAAATCACGAAGAGCATGGGGGGAAATAATTCAAGCTTTGAAAGATAATAATCTCCAGCCAAGATTGAGATATCCTGCACAACTGTCCCTGGAAATTGATGGAAAAACGAGGTGCTTCCAGGATAAAGAGGAACTGGGGGAATTTGCAACCACCAATTCAACCCTACAGAAAGTATTGCAGGATATTCTAAAAAAAGAAAAATACAAAGAACCCAGAAATAGTGGCGGGGAGGCCACAACGAATGGAGCAGAGAACAAAATGAAGAAGACAAACTGACAGCTACTGACAGAAAAAGAGCTCAACAGAAATGAGACAGAGACGATTGGATGATAGGAACAGCTATTTTGGAGAAAATGACATCTTAATAGGTAATACTGATTTAGTACCATCTTGTTTTGAAGTCTCATCTAGCTTTTATTCTTCTGTCTCCAATGGTCTAAACAGGTTGTATCTTATTGGATTTTATTATGTACGATAGTATAAGCAAAAACCTTTTAAAGACAAGGAGATTATACAGAAACCATTGTTCATTTTCTGTTAGTCGATTCTAAATACTCTATAATGCTGTCATTCTCTTAAATGGTTTTACGTTGTTTTGATATACTTAATGCTACAGTATACGAAGTTGTACTCAAGGACTTCAAGGAAAGAGTCAATATGGTAACTACTTTTGGGTCGGAAATATCTGGTGGTGAAACACTATTCTGCTTAAATGGTTATGTTTTGATCTGCCCTGTTTCGCTGTTATGCCCTCTTTTTTTCTTAATCTCCACTCCATTATTTACTTTTTTATTTTTATCCGTTTAATTAAAGGGAAAAAATAGCAGGATATAATATAGTAACCCACTTTGACTTTCTATTATCTCGATTTGAAGCCCTGTATTACTCTCACAATCTTGTTTTTGACTGAGGTTCCTCTATTCTGTTTTGCTGGATAGTATCAGGTTCGAAAGTTTAGGCATCAGCTGAGAAGATAATGAGATTCATTATAACGCCCATTCTCGTTGACTTTTATCTACTTTTGAAGACCTACAATATCTCCAATGTTTTGGTTTTGTCGGTTTTATTCTTTACTGTTTTGTTCAATTGTATTACAACTAATGATATAGGCAATTCTATTAGAAATAGCGGGAGGCATTATGGTAACCATTGTTGATCACCTTGTATTATGTTTTTATGTTATCTATTATATCCACCCTTTTGACTTGACCGATTCGGTTCTGTTATGTCACATTTGGTTTTACTCTCTTCCAAAAAAGCAATAAGAACTGTGGGAGCAATGAAACCCAAAATGTGTAATAGTCACTGTAGAAAAGAGAGGAAAAGAAAGTGCTCTAAACTATATAACTGCATGTATATTTAAATGTATAAGATAGAAAATGATATCACAGAGTTTTATTGGATCAGTGAACAGAACTGTTTGCAGTATCATTGTTGGAATGTCCACTCTACAAGCTTTAATTTTGTGACTTGAACAATTATTTCTAAGATGGCAATATGTAATCCATTAACTAGTGATTTCCTACTGCACATTTTTTTCTTCTGTAAATCTGTATAACTTGTACCCCTTCACTGTTTTTTTTTCTTTTCTTTTCTCCTTAAATAAATAAAAAAATTTACATAAAAAGAATGTACCTTGTGCTCTAGTGGGTCTAGAAGCCAGGGATCCTGGTTCCATATAGCGCTCCCTTCTGAAATTAGGTCTCACTAGTCAGTTGCACCTGCCTGTAACCAGTGTTCCATGTGAAAAACACCAAAATATGGTTATTTGAATCAAAAAGTTTAAAGGTTACTGATGGAGATCCATTTATAATTAAGCAATAATTAAGGAGAATGAAAGATTCTAAAGTTTTATTTACTAATTAACCTTTGTTATACGGTTTTTATATTCTTGGTGTCAAGTTAATGGCAAATAATCACACAAGTCTACATCAGCCCATGGACTGCAGCAAAGGAAAAAGACACTGATATTTCCCCCCTCTGCTTATTATGCTAGGTATTTCCTTATTTTTGACACTAAAAACCTGTTATTCTGTGATGAGGTCCTCGGCCAAGGCAACTCAGTGGATGTCCTGGGCTGTTCTTAAAGGAATTTCCCCACATGATGACCCAATGATAATGCTGACTCCAGACCAGGGCGACACATTTTACCTTCCATAAAGTGGAATTTCAGAGTTGGAGGAGACCTTAATCACACTGTGGTCAGGTAGTTCATTTAAAAACAGCTCGCCACAACCGGTGAGTGGGCTGGGAGAAAGAACACTATCCCTCTCGTATGTAAGCAAGCCTCTGGCTGGTTCGGAGGACAGGCTGAGTTGGTAAAATAGCTGAATCGCTATTTTGAAGATAACAAGAGGCAGTATGTTAGCCATTGTTGATTTCCTATTATCTTATTTTGAAGTCCTGTGTCACTTTCATTGTTCTATTCGGATTGGCTCTATTCTGTTGTGTTTTGTTTGGTTTTATTCTCTTTAAAACAAACAATTAAAAAACTAAAAAAAAAATGGCTTGCCAATTGAAAGTATTCCGGGTCCTTCTTGCCTAGAACAAAGAGTTGGATGACTCACACCATTATTACAAAGGTGAAAGTGAAGGGGTAGCGGAGAACTGGCTCTGTAGAGCAAACCAGTAGAACCAAAGAGGAAAAGAAAAAAAAAAAAAAAGCAAAAATAAAACTCCACCTTGGGTCTGGCAGTGTTCGATGGGCCACTGTGAAGAGCCATGGTAAGGAGGTCCTTGCTGCCCCTTGCTGCCCAGATCTCTTGGGAGCCACCTGAGGTTCTGCACAGGGGATCCTGAGAATCCTCTCCTCCACCCTGGGATATTGCATTTGCAGGTCCTGCCCACTTTGCCTGCCAGTTTTGCCACCAGGAGACCTTGCACCAAGGAGACCCATTCATGTGCTCATCACTGGAGGCCACTTGGGTATCCAGCGTGTGTTTCAGAGGGTGCTTCCGGGATGACTTCTCCTGACAGTTTGATGTTCGCCCGGAGCCCCTCATTGGAATGTGTCATACTTCGTATGGCAGGGAGTTTCTCAGATGAGACCCGGGCTCCCACCATGTGACATTCACACTGCTGCATGATCCTTTCTTCTTGCGTGTGCACAAAGCCTGTGGCTTGCTTCTACTGAAAGAATACGGCAAAGTTGTGGTAAGGCCACATCAGTGATTAGATTTCATAAAATCATGACTCTGTCTTGCTCGTAGAATCTCTCTGTTGCCCTCTGGCATGAACACTTTGATAATGCAAGTTGCTGTGATGGAAATGCCCATCTGATAGGAGCCAAGGGCAGCCTCTGGCCAGCAGCCCATGGAGATAGAGGTTCTTGTTCAACAGTCTGCCAACAAAAGCTGGATGAGCTTGGAAGGGACCAAGCAGAGCCTTTAGCGGGGACCTGCTGGGACTGCTGGGACTTGACTGTAACCTTGGGAGACACCCCAAAGCAGAGGACCCAGCTCAGTGTCCTGAACCACAGCCAGTGATCCTAACTGTATCATTTTAAGTGGACAAGTATTGGATAATTTATAATGCTATTGTGTTATGCACAACAGAAAATGGATGCATTGCTGCATTTGTCTGTCTTTCTCTAGCAGGACCAGAAGTTAGCTGTTTGAGGTCATCTGGCCCTTGGTGTGTGTATGTGTGTATGATCCATCGATTCTGAGTGCAAGGGGGATCCCTGAGGTTCAGGGAACGCCAGCTCCTGGAAAGGCTGGAGCTCCTGGAAAGTGCCCCATTAGCCCCCGCCTTTGGTTCTCCCACTGAAACCTCCAAAACGGTCTTTTTCTACCTGAGCCTCATTCAGTTTGCCAACCAGGGGCAGCAGGCGGTTACTCCTTGGAGTCTGAAACTTTTTTTTTTTTTTTTTTTTTGTCTTTTTTTATTTCTATCGGTACTGGGGATCGAACTCACGACCGCCTACTTGCAAGGCAGGTGCTTATGCCGCTGAGCTAAATCCCCAGCCCCTGGAGTCTGAAACTTAGTTTGGCCTGGGTAGGACACCTTAATAGACTAAGTACCACTCCACAGCCAAGGAGTGCATGCAAAGATACATATCCCAGTGTGGTGTTGACGCAGAGTACGAAGCGAAGCGCCTGGAAAATTTAGGGAAGATGGGGAGAAAGAGGGAAATGGAGGAGACACTGACAGGCATTGCGTGGAATTTCAGACAGCCCGGGGCCTCCATTTCCCCCTCTGTAAATCGAGGGTTTAGCTTCAGGTCCTGCAGCCACTGATGCTTGGCCTGACACACTCGGGGTTGCCCAGAGCTGTTCTCCAGATGCCAAGTCAGCTATCAGGTGAGGTAACAGAACACATTTCCTAAGAAGGCTGAGCGGTTAAATCAAAGCAATAAAACACGTAAAACGCGTATCACAGTGTTTGCGCCAGCTACTGCTGCTGCACCGGGCTCCGGGTCCCTGGGGGCCTCCGGGGCCACCGGGGCGGGCGGGCGGAGCGCAGCCCCGCGCCTGGCCAGGCCTGCCCCGCCCACGTGGGGCCGCAGCCCGTCGAATGACTCCGTGCAACGTGTTGGTGGCAGCGCGGGCTCTTCCGGGCTCCGCAGCTTCCTGCCAGGCACCGCGCAGCCGCCTCCGCCGCGGGAGCCGGGGTGCAGCCTGCGCGCGGGTGCGGAGCCGGGAGCCCGCGCGCCGCCGCACACGATGCGCGCCCCGCCGCCCGCGCCGCTCCCGCTCCCGCTCCCGCGCCTGCTGCTGCTGCTGCTCGCGCTCCTGGCCGCGCCCGCCGCCTGCGCCCGCACAGCCCAGTCCGCCTCGTCACCACTGCCACCGCCACCCGGCCCGGGACCCGCCAACGCCACCCTGTCGGGGTCCGGGGCGGCGGGCGGCGGCAGCGTGTCCAACAGCAGCGGCGACGCCTTGGTGACCCGCCTTTCCTCCCTGCTCCGCGACCTGCCCACCCTGAAGGCGGCCGTGATCGTGGCGTGCGCCTTCAGCGCGCTGCTCATCGCCTGCCTGCTGCTGCGCGTCCTCAGGTGGGTCCCCGCGCCTGCGCCGCCGTCGCCACAGGTGCCCGGGCTGGCGGTGGGGGTGGGGTGTCAGGCGGCTTGGGGAGCCCCTGGCACGCTGCACCTGCCGCCTGCCTAGGGTTGGGCTCAGGAGGGCGGGGGCGCTTCTGTGGTTTCTCTTGGGGCACATTCTAGGAATTCTTTCCCCTTCCTTTAAGAATCCACAGTGTATCATAAATAGGGGTTTCCGTTTAACTCTCTGCTAGCGCTGAACACTGAACACCACTCTGGATTTTCACGGCTTTCCACAGGATTTATTTTATATCCATTGAATAGAGGAGGAAAATATTTCCAGGGGGAAAGGTAGCTTATCCAAGTAAACTCAAGGGTGGAGGCGGGATTCGAACCAGGTTTGCTTAACTAGACTTCCGACCTTTCTCCCCACTTCATCTGCAGCTCCTCCTCGCCCCATCTGCTTTTATTCTGTTTTCTTTTCCTGCGGCTGCTTTTTCTTGTTTCTCCTTCTAGCGTGGGGGAGGCCCTAGTGCTCCAGCCGGAGGTCTGGGCATTGGTGCTGGCTTCAAATGGCTGTTTATCTTCGGTGACTATCCATGGGGGAGGTGTGTGTCTGGTGGCTGTCTTAGGCCCCTACCGACTAAGCTGTCCTAAAGAGCTTTCCCAAGGCCTCCAGCTGCTCAAAGAGACTTTTGCAGGGTGCTCAAGGTCAAGGAGAAAAGTGACCAGGAGATTAAGAAGGTCCTTGGTGTGCTGGGCCCCCAGGGGAGGCAAGCTAGGATTTCCTGAGAATGCCTGGGAATCCTGTTTGTGTAGGAAATGGACTCCACGTGTCCTGTTCTTCAGTGGCTGGCCTGGGGATCTGGGGTGCATGTTTACCCTCTCTGCCATGGCCTCTGCTTCCAGGTGTTCTCGCCATGCTTGGTTTGATGGCACCTCTGCTGGTAGTGTTTCCTGTGCAGGAGCAGAACCCAGGCCTAGGGAGAAAGGCTGACACCCATCCACTGAGGCTACTCTTGGTTCTGTGTGACTCTGAACCAAGCCTTCTGGGTCTGCTCCATTCTGATTAAACACCCAGGGTTTGAGAAAAAGGGGCTAAGTTCACCTCCCTGCAATCCCCATGCTCCCCTGACTGTCACTTGCCTGGCTCAGGCCACGTTGCTCCTTTCTGTGTGAATCTGCTCAGCGCTCTCCTGGTTCACTCTGACTGTCCCACTGTCCTTGCTTTTCTGCTTGCAAACTTCAGTGACCCTTTATAACCGCTGCCTCCTCTTTGGGCTACTTAAGTGTGGCATTTAGGGCCTTTCCAAACTGTCCCCAGCCCCCTGCAGCCCTTTGAGGCTTGTCTCACATCTCTTGTGCTCCATGGTGCTGGCCTGTGCTTTCCTCGCTCTGTCCCGATTCCTCTGCATCTTCCAAGCGTGACACAGACGCTCCTGTCCAGCGCTGGCCCTTTCCTTTCTCTGTGTAGATTTCCTGGAGGCGTTTTTTTTTCTTGCTCCCCAGCCGTACCCTTTTGGGTTTATCCTCTAGTGCAACCTTTATTTCGCCACAGCAGGTCACCGTGTTTGGGGCCCTGCTTCCTTACTCAGCACAGAGCCCTGAAGGGTGCAAGACCCGGTTCATCCTAGGGCCCTGGGCCCAGTGGAGGCCTGGCATCCCGCAGGGGCATCCTTGTCATTTCCTGACTTCCTGATTGTGCATCAGGAGTAAACCTGTGCCTACAGCAGCTCCGAGTGTGGGGGGTTGAAACATTTAGCTCAAAATAGGCTGAGCCCACAAGGCTGTGTACTTTTTAAAGAAGGTATTTGAAATATTTTGCCAGTCTGCTCTTTATTACCCAGGAGTGGGAGAGAAAAGAAGGCTGCACAGGGCCAGATGTGAGGGCATGGAGCCTCATGTTTGAGCAGGCGGAAGGGAGCGTCCTTGTTGTCCAGGATGTGGGGTGTGGGAGGAAGGGCTTTAGTACAGAGGAGCTGCTTGTGGGCACGGTCTGCCTCCTCCCCCCTGGGAAGAAGGGGCTCGGGGTAGGGTGAATCCCCAGGTACACATCTGCCATCCAGGATTCAGACTGAGACAAGAACTTGAGCGTTTTATCTCTGGGAAGGGCCTTACAGTACCCAGCCCCAGGTTGTACCCTCAGACGGGAACAGCACCAGTGGCTTCTAGAACACTCTACAAATGTGATGGCCAAGGCGGGCCTGGCGCCTGGTCTGAGCTTTGGCGGTCTGGACTGTGGCTGCTCCCCCTTCTCATGTCCCTCTGTGGGGAGAGTCCTGACCTGATTCACGGGCAGCTCCTTCGCCTGCAGGCCCTGAGTCCTGGGCATTCGGCCCCCCAAAGGCCCCTGAAACCATCTCACCTCTACCCACACTGCCCTCACCTGCTGCAGCTCTCTACCTTAGAGGTTTTCGCCTGGGTGCAGTCCTCCCAGAATCAAGGGTCTCCTGTGGGCTGGGTTTCTGCTTTTGGCCTCACCCCTCTTCACCCCAGCCTCCCTTTCCTGCTGGGATGCTGGTCCTTCTTTCCTCTGCCTCCATGTCCTCCCATTCGCCTCGGCATGCAGGAAAGGCGGTCTCTTGAGGCCCAGGGTCTTTCCTCCCTCTCTAGCTCCTGTGCTGGCTCCGCCCAGGTGCCCCTCACTCACTGATGCAGTCCTGCTAGACTCTAGGGAGTCACGGCCACACAGGTGGCTGTGTGCCCTTCTGGGTTTCCTGGTCAGAGGAGCCTCCCCAGCCCGGACCCCCTGAGCTCCTGAGCATGTTCAAGTTTTAAATTTCCTGCTGGGAGTCCCGAGTGTCTCTCAGTGTGTTCCTTGGCCCGGCCAGACTGGGGGCTCTTCAGAGCAAGGCTGAGCCTTGATCTTCCATGTCTCTGTAACACCTCCTGTGATTCCATGCTCAGGTTGGTGTGTAATAAAGATATTTTTAGCAAAAAGAATATTGAACTCCTGAGCATTTCAGATTGCCGATGACTGAAACATGTCCTGTGTTGCTAGGTGCATGGCGGATAGGAGATCTTGGGAGGTGCAGAATATCGTGGTTGCCCATTCATCCTTTTTGCAGTATAGAAACAGAGGGAAGGGGGCTGGGGATTTAGCTCAGCAGCATAAGTGCCTACTTGGCAGGTGCAAGGTCATGAGCTCAATCTCTAGTTCCACCAAAAAAACCCCAAAAGAAACAGAGGGAAGAGTAGAGGGTGATTGCTTATTAAGCTGTGGTTCAGCCTATTTCTGTTGCTGTTTTCCTGGAAGGAGTCAGCTTGCCAGACAACAGAAAAAAATGTGGATCTGGGGAAACAAAGTTTTCTGTGTATCATAGTGAAAAATACATGTACCTAGTCAAGCAGTTCCATATGCATTTTTTTTTCCACTACAGTGTGCTTTCTTTGCTTCAATGTCAAGGATTAGGAGAAGAAACAAGATTCTTGGAAAGAGATGTTCAGAGCAGTTCGGCTTGACAGTGAAAAAGTTTAAATAACCCTCATCCATTGGTTGGCACTGGTTAATAAATGATACTGATCCTTAACAGTTGTTGAAAGTGATGACATTGACATGATACTGATGATACACTGGGATGTGCAACATGTCACAGAGATGTGTGGGTAGTACGAGCTGATTCCAGTAAATAAATTACAAATATGTACCTATGCGAATGTACAAGGACGTCTGTTATTGGGTGTGCATGCATGACAGTGTGGGTGAATCTTCCTTATCATGCAGTTATTTATCACGATGTATTTATGTATTATATGAATTTCTGCATAATTACGTGACACATCTTCATTGTTTCTATCCTTATATTTGCACTTAGCTCCTTGTTGCATCCTGGGCTGGTACATGTTTGGGTTGTGTACCTGGCAGTGGGACTTCTGGACTTGTATTTGACTTCCCTGAGCAGACACCTGTATAAGCTCTTGCCTGCAATGTCCAGGAGTTGTCGAAGTCTTGCCTCATAACCAGAGCTTAGTGTCAGTTGACTTTCTGATGCTTTCCCATTAGATCGGTATGACTTGATATCCTATTGCTTTGCTTTGTATTTATTTTATACTGAGTTTGAGCCGCAGTCTGTTCCTGTCCTTCTTAAACAATCTGATTTCCCTATATGAGGAATCGTTTCCACTTTTCCATGTACGTTACCATTAAGGAAAATTTCAGATGAGAGACAGGAAGGAGGGCAGCAGTCTGGAGACCGCATGCCTTTCGGTGGACAAGAGTGCACCCTCTTGCTGGTGTCCACGGGCGAACCCCCTCCTGCAGACACGAGGTCTTTGGGAGAGGGCAGGCGAACCGGTCTAGTAGAGACTGGGATCTCTCCTGATTTTATTGTATGTTTTTGGTACTGGGGGTTGAATCCATGGAATCACATGGAGTTAAGCCCCCAGTGCTTTTTATTTTTGAGACAGGATCTTGCAGAGTCCTTAAATTGTCCAGGCTGTGCTTGAACTTGCGATCCTCTTGCTTTTGTCTCCCAGAGTTCAGGGATCACGGAGTGCACCAACCAAGCCTGGTTCTGATTTTTGGATACTGACAAATTCAGGGGCTGGACAAGTAGGTGGTAACTGCTGGTATCAGGACATTTTCCTCTTTTTCCCTTAGAGCACTTCGTTTGAGGTCTGGGGTGGGGTGGACATGTTCTGACTTTACCTTCTAGTGTCATTTGGACGGGGGAAAAGTCAGAGAAATTGTCACCGTGAGCCATGCCTCTCCTTTCCTGGTCTTGGCAGAGTCTGCTCCATGGTGCAGGCTGTGTTTCCTCATCTCTGTTGGCTGCTCGCTTGGCTACTTTTCATTTCAAAACCCCTCTAATATTCTCTTATCGCAAAGGACAGTTCATTTTGGTGCTTCTGCAGGGATTGGGAAGATGAATTCTAGGTGACCTGGCATTGTCTGCTTGTTGGTGGCAAAGGTGCACACAACTGGGTCTTGGAGACATTGGCATTACAGAAGCATAAACTGCTAAGCCAGATCTTTGAAAAGGAACTAAAGATTTCTGACTTATCTTGGCTTCTAT